CTCCAGAAGCACAAACTCTCGACCATAAACGCTAACTTTCTGCCAATTTCTCTTCCACTGTTTCTGTTGGGTTGTTCCCCGCTGGAGACAAGGATTATGCTTGGAGTGCTGTTTAATGCAGCACTAGACATTTAAATAATACAAGATTTACATGATCTTTATGACTCTTCAAAGTAACATGGTTGTTCATTTCAAAGCTGAAAAACTATGGGATTGAAAGGATGTTTTGAGATTGTCCCCAATATCCAGCTAATTATGGCTCTGCAGTTCTTCTTTTGCTTCTATCTATCTATCTATCTATCTATCTATCTATCTATCTATCTATCTATCTATCTATCTATCTTTTTCTTACCCCCACTCCTAACTCAATCTTTGAAACACTAGTGCAGTGGTTCTCAACCTATGGGTCCCCTGATGTTTGGGCCTTCAACTCCCAGAAATCCTAACAGCTAGTAAACTGGCTGGGATTTCTGGGAGTTGTAGGCCAAAACATGTGGGGACCCAAAGGTTGAGAACCACTGCACTAGTGTGACAGCAACTTGGTAAACCAGACTTTGAAGACCAGAGTGGTTCCTATTTTTGCTTAGACTCCATGAATGCTAGCACTATGATCAGATGAGAGAAACGTATGCTGAAGTTGTTCTATTATAAAAATCCATACTATCTTCATGGGGTGCAATTCCTGAGCATAACATCAGGTTGGGCTAGCCAGCGGTTCTCAACCTGTGGGCCCCCTGGTGTTTTGGCCTACAACTCCCAGAAATCCCAGCCAGTTTACCAGATGTTATGATTTCTGGGAGTTGAAGGCCAAAACATCTGGGGACCCACAGGTTGAGAACCACTGAGCTAGACACCTGCAACACAATGAAATCCCTATTGTCTAACCTATAGCAAGCCTTCCACTTGAAAAGTCTACTGTTTCCTGTACCTTGCCTTCACATTTGAATAGGAAGCCTTCGGAATGGTCCTTTTGTTACCATTTGGTCTAATGGCTAGGCGAGCAAATGGCTGGCAGAACAGCTGCACTGAAAGTTAATAATTGTTGCAGCAACCCAGAACTGGTGTTTACAACCCCAGGTGCTTCAGGGATTAAACAGCAGGTGCAAACCAACTGAAAAGCAGCCAAAGCTCCAATTCTCTGCAAACTACCGTTTCACTGAGTAACAAGGAGAGAACAAAAGTGCAAGGTGAACCCTTCCTGTCTCATCTTGCCACGGTGAAGGGAATGGTCAGCATGTCTGGCCCAAGAAATGTATTCATCTCCAGTAAAAAGTTGAGAGACCAAGCCCAATTCCATTAAGTCCTCTAGAGAGCCGACAAGAATTTTCAGCGGTAACTGCCACAAACTGTTACTGATTAAACAAATATACATCTAGGCAAGTTTCCTTTGATTTGCCATGGCAATAATTCATGGATAGTTCCAAGCAGATATGAATGCTGAATGGTTTCTCAAGTCATATGAGACAACTTATTTTAACTTTAAATAAATAGAGGCTGGAGGACATGTTTTCCCCTCCAAAGGAATGTGCATGCAGGACAAAACACTGATTCTAATTCACAGATCCTTTCTCAACCCACTGGGTTTTTAAATTCCAGGTTCTCATTTTGTATCATGAACTGCAAAATTTCTAAGATGAACTTTAGATACCCCCTTGTTTTCTTAAGGTCATGTTAGTCTGTCATAGCATAAAAAGGAAAGAGAGAGAGACAAAAAAGGGGGGGGGGAGAATCTAGCAGGACATTTAAGACCAATTTATCTAAAGTATTCATAAAATGTCCACAAAAATATATAAAGCAAAGCTTCTGTTAATCTTGGAGTTGCTGCTAGGATTTTTCCTATAATGCTTCAGATGAACTAGATCAGTGCTTTTCAGGCTATCTAATATGGGTGTGGAATCGGCAATTATTATTTTGCAATGTGTCACAGACCAACACTAAATTTGTGCCCATTGGGTATGATTGTTTCTTTCTTTCCTGTAAACATGCCAGGGATCAGCCGACAATGACTCAGGGACTAGTACTGGTCTAGGGAATAATACTACATTAGATAACTCAGTCTCTAGAAATTCTTCCTAAGGGCTTACGTGACCAACTGTAACAGTCATTATGACTCTATGCCCCTGAACACCAGTTTTTGGAGAATATTAGTAGGAATGTACTATTGCCCTTGTGGGCTTCCCAGGGGCATCTACTTTGCCACTATGAGAACAGGATGCTGGATTTGAAATTCTTTTGACCTGATCTAGCATTTCACATTCTTATGAAATAAGCTGTATATCCCATTTTAAACACCAGGGATAAAGGTTCTAACTTCATCTACTTTCTGATAGGGCAGCCATCTATGCAAATCAACTATTACACCATTACAATCTGTAGCACAACAGTAAATAAACAGATATACCACTTCAGCTGTTGTTTGAAAACTAGGATATCACTGTGAACATAATATATAAGTTATCAGACAGCAACATTTGAATAACAATACACCAAGTGAGTTCTAAAATGTTTATCTCATCTGGATTTTCATACAGTGTACTGCACTGTTCTGTGCTTTGTCAGCACACTAACCTGGATTGTGATCTTGACAGCACAAATAGCATAACCAACACAACTATGCTAGAATTTAAAGCCTTCCCCCCCTCCCTTTGTGAGCCATACACAGAAGACAAACTAGAACTCTGTGTTACCCTCAAATCACAATGTGAATGGTGAAGATTCTGGTGATATGACAGGAAAATGTACTCATTACAAAAAAAACACCTCCTTGGAGCTGGGGATCAACTTAGAATCACAGAGTTGGAAAAGCGCTCATGAGCCATCCAGCCTAACCCCCTGCCAAGAAGCAGGAAAATTGCATTCAAAGCATCCCGGATGGGACAGTCTGACGTTGAACATAAGGCTAAAGTTAAACCGGAAGTCAAGTTACTTCCTGTTTTGTTTTAGTTTTATTTTGCACAATTTTTGTTTTGTATATACAATAAACTGCTTCACTTGGATGCATATCTGTAGTGTTTTTTTGGGGGGGGCATGGGGAGGGGTCCTCCAGGTACTTTGTGGGTATCATGAGGATACAAAATGTGGTTGGACCACATAGATTCCATAGGCTGCTTACACCACACATGGGCTATATCATGCTCCCCACAGTATCCATTCTCTGTACTCAAATCATCAACACTTGTCTACTCATTTAAAGGGAATGTATGCCAGTTACAAAGGAGCTGTATAGAAATGTTTACGTATTTATTTTCATCAATAAGATTCTGCTCCAGACTTTAAGTTCCATGTGATGACAACAGAACACATGGAGTCTGGAATGAGCTTTTCTATTTAAAAAAGAGTAAGAAGAGCTGTCATCTTGAGTCAGAACTATGGCTATGGAAGGCCAGTGCTGGAAAAATTTTCTTTCAGCATGGCTCCTCTTTTACAATATTTCTCCAGCAAATAAAACTTTAACTGATGCAAAGAGGGACACAGTATTTAGAATGATAGGTCAGCTGAAGAAGAATTACTTCTTTGTCAAATAATAGGTGGGGAGAGAAATAACATCTCCTTAACTCACTAGAAATAAAATAGAAATCTACACCTTGAAACTAACTTCTGGATAACAAATGCATTTGTGTAAAGAAATACCTTTATTCTTCCCTGTTCTTAGACGTTAATCTAACCCCCTATAGCACATTGTCATATTTTGTAAGAAGCATAGTGTAGTTGTCACAAAATTAGGCTGCAACTTTTGACCTTCCATCTGGAGGACTTGATAGTGCATGATTTCCAAGGCATTCCAGAATTGCCTAACTCAATATCTATTAGAATATATTCAAGAGGTTCCCTAAACATAAATAAAAAGCCAAAATATGACTTCAGCAGCAATATGGAAAGATGAATTTTCTAAGATAATTTAAAGATAAGACAACAAGCATCTCTCAGCTCATGAATTGCTTCACAGTGGGTTCTCTGCAATCTAAAACAAGCAAAAGTCTGTAAGAACCATCACAAAGAAGCAGTTTCAGGAAATCTGATAAAAAGGTGGTTCTACCAAGACTAATAAATCAAACTATCAACCCATTCAGTTGTTTCCTGTGTTTAAAGAGAAAACCCTTTAATTCTAATTAGCACTCTTATTTGCCCTTTTTTACTAGACATCAAGCAAGAGGTTGTTTGTGTTCAGCTTATCACAAGAAGCCTGGGTTTGTTTGATTCAGTGGTTCTCAAACTGTGCTCCTCCAGATGTTTTGGACTTCAGCTCCCACAATTCCTAGGAGCTGGTAAGCTGGCTGGGATTTCTGGGAGCTGAAGTCCAAAACACCTGGAGGAATGTACGAGGGTTGAATGAAAAGTAATGCCTCCACCTTCGTAACTCCTCAACAGATGGCAGTACTGGTATGTGGCAGGTACTGGCTTGTTCAGTAGACTAACCTCTACAGTTCCATTTCGGCAGGAAGCCTTAGCATTGAACAGTTGTGTTGTTAAAGTGCAAAATATGGAACCCTGCACAGACGGTCGGTCAATGCGACTTAAGCAATGTACAGTCATTGAATTCTTGACAGCAGAAGGTATCACCCCAAAGAAAATTCATTAGAGAATGCAAGCTGTTTGTTTATGGTGATTGTGTTGATGAGTACTGTGCGTCATTGGCTGAGTAAGTTTAAAGATATTGAGGTGGGAACATCTGACTTGCATGACAAATAAAGAATTGGAGGTCCTGTGATAGCAACCACCAAGTTTCACAAGCAAAAGGTTGACAGATTGATTCAGGGCGATCGTTGTATCACTCAGAGAGAAATTTCAAGCATAATCAGCATTTCAGAAGAGCACGTAGGTCACATTATTGCTTTGCTTGGCTATTGGAGGATCTGTGCATGATGGGTTGCAGAAACAGAGTGTCGACTTCTTCCGTGACGGCTTCAGAAAACTTGTTCATCATTGACAGAAATATATCCAATTGTCTGGTGATTATGAGGAAAAGTGAATAGTGGTAGTTAAAGAGCACATTCTAAGGATTATTTCTGCATTTGATTTATTAAAATATTCCCATCCAAACCCAAGTAACAAAGGTGGAGGCATTACTTTTCATTCAACCCTTGTAGTTTGAGAAACACTGGTTTGGTCTATTCCCCCAAGAAAACAGTGAAAGAGAAATTTAAAATTACAATCTAATCCATACTATCTAGATCAGTGGTTCTAAACTTTCAGTTGTTTTGAACTTCAACTCCCAGAAATCCCAGTCAGTTTCCAACTGTTAGGAATTATAGGAACTGAAGTTCAAAACACCTGGAGGACCAAAGGTTGGGAACCACTGGTCTAAATAGTAGAACCTACAAGATTTATCCCTTCCAAGTAAATAAGTACACACTTGGGTCTCAAAAAACTTCTGTTTTGAAAATACACTATTCTCAAATATGATCAAAGTTGTAAGCACATATTTAGGCTTTAGAATTTCAGTCCTAAAGTCTAAAATGACAGCCAAGGTACTTGCATTATCTGGGCTGTAAGGCCACGTGATTTTTGAGATATGCTTGCAACCAGTGACTATGATTCACCTGCAACTCAGTCTCTCACAGATGATCATGATGTGTGCATGTGTGTAGCCAAGCAGGGGAGGACATAGCATAGCCTTTCCAGAGTAAAGGGGGAGTTACAATAAAAGAGAAACTTGGATAGCAAAAAGAATTTTGAAGTTAGAAAAAACACATCTAATTACCAAAATATCTGTTTACACCTGAAAAATATGTGATTCAAACAAAGGTAGACAAGACACATGAACCCTGAGCTAAAGCTGCAGGGAGCTCTGGAGCTAGTTAAAATAGGGAAAGAATTCTTACAACTACTTTTCATAGTTAAATACTTTTCTCTCTCTTTGTTTCACTCTCACACTCATTCATTCGCAGGGTATTCAGAGTTCAGCCAAGATGCAAAAGGAGAATGCCAGGTGTACCAGAAGAGTTCAGTTCTGGCTGGACTACTGTTAGGTAACTCCTCCTCGGCTTGCAGTGGTTATGCAGCAACATTTCTCATTTCCAGGAAGAGCTTTCACTGTACTAAATTATCCCACGAGTCACTGGGCAGCATAAAGTTAAGTTGTTGCTTGCCTGTGTCAGTTGGCTTTAATGGAGCGGGTTGTCAAATACAGCATCAGGCAAGATGGAGACTTTCAGTTTCTTTTCAGGCCAACTATATTCCTTTGGGAGTTTGAACTAAAAGGCAAGGGAATTCGTTATTAGTTGATATACCTTACTAAAATCTAGAACATACAAGCAAATAAACAAAGCAATACCATTAAGAGCCAAGATTTCAAGCTAACAAGCGAAGATGTTTTCCCCAATGGGACAATATTATGGCATAAGTATTCTTATTTTCACCACGCACGTAATCATCATAATTGCCAGTCATTCATCCAGCCTTCTCAAATTATCTTTGCTTGCTTAGAAAAGATCAAACAAACTCACCTGTAAAAGTTGAGTTGGAACTAGACTAAGTTATTTATATTTAGTTTCCACTGAATTCAACAGTGAGTTGCCTTATAGAAAACTGGATGATAGCCTGTTCAGCATCAATGCTCATTTTTTTTAAAAAAATGAGATCCTAGAAGAAGCCAGGAAATTACAGGCCTCTTAAGCTTAATATCTGGGCAATCAAAACTATCAAGGCATTGGAACAGAAATGAGAAAAGGTAAAGTGCCTCGATTTTGTTTATTTTTTGTTTAGAAAAGGTGGCTAAGAGAACACTTAACAGCCATTCATAAAAATTATGAATGCTGCAGAGACAGTGAACAGAAAGCTCGTTCTCTCTTGTGTAACACTAAAACTCAGGGTCACCTCATGAAACTGAGTGGTTGTAGATTCAGGATGAGGACAAGAAAACCCTTTTTTCATTGAATTACACAGAAATAATTTATGGAATTGGTAGCTGAAGTATGTGGGAATGACATTTGGTATAATGTCATTCCCACATTTTAAAACTTTTTAAATTTGCTGAGTGACGATATCTACTGAAGGATGATTAGTTGATATGAAAAGCACTACTAGAATACCACTGGCAACTTGGGGCCCTTCCACACAATCCTATATCCCAGAACATCAAGGCAGAAAATCCCACAGTATCTGCTTTGAACGGGGTTAACTGCCATATATTCCAGTTCAAGGAAGAAAAAGTGGGATTTTCTGCCTTGATATTCTGAGATATAGGGCTGTGTGGAAGGGCCCTTGATCTTTTAATTGAAAGACCACATAACTTCAGCAATAAGCTGCACTGAACACTGGAAGCAAACGCATGCTTTCTGAACAACAGCAGTAGTGATGGCTGTTCTGCAAGAATATAAAGATTGACCAAAGTCAACAAGAACTATGATGATGATGATTATAATCATCATCATCTTTATTTATATTCTGCCACCATCTCCCAAAAGGGACTTGGGGTAGCTTACAAGGCACGACAAGTGTAGTATATGAGCATTACAATTCTGCATAGTGTGGATGAACAGTAGGGGAATAATTCATGCAATGCCCATAAGAAATATTATTGTAGTCCTCCATAGAAGTGATATACTTGACTGAACCTGCTACTGTAATGTAAAGCTGCCCAAACTGAGAGCAGTTACAGAAAGCAATTCCTGAAAGTTACAGAAAATGCCATCACAATGGTCAGAGCAGGATACTAGGGGCAGTAACTCTAAAGGAAATTAACTAGATTATGGGCTGCTAGTGGGTGGCTAGTGCAATGCTCTGAAGAACATTCAATCTGTGCCAAATCCAGTTGTTCCTGCCATATAATCCTGGGGTAGATATACTTCCTCACACAGGGAACTTCTAGGAATGGGATACAAACAGCAAATAAAAGTGATGCCTTGAATTCAGAGTCAGGAAACCAGGCCATGCCAACAACGTGAACAAGTCAAGCCGCTGAATGTAGAAAGTGCCCCGTTGGGTATTAAGAGCTAAGCAGACGTACCTCCTCTGGAGAATTCAGGTCTTCTAAGTCTTCCAGCATTCTTTCCACAAACTCTTCAGTCAGCAGGATCTGCAAAAGGAGAAACAGTAGTTTTATTCTTTTACGCTTCAAGCTTCACCTAATTGCCAAGCAACAAACTCCTTGCTAGTGCACAGAGAACTACTGTACTGTTGTTCGTACAGCAATTCACACAGGCCTTGGAGGTCGCTTTGCTTCCTTCCTTAATACATACAAAATGCTGCAATTATCATGGAATCCAGTTGTATCATCAATTATTTCCCTGTGTCAAAAAACTAAAGGCTTTGATTCAGTGGAGAAGAAAAGGTAAGAAATGGAGCGAGAGATCAAGTTATCAGAAAAAGCAGGCAATAGGAGAAAAGATGGGCTTTGTATATGACATACCAAAAGCTTGCCCTAGGCCTCAATAATAGATAGGGAAAAAGGAAGCAGGTACTATGAGCTTGAAAATATTTTTTCTGGCAAATAGGTCATGCAATCTAACCTTTGTAAAACTCTGCTAAACCAGATCCACAGTCTCAGCACACATTCTGTTACTGATGGGAATTGAGAGAAAAGGGATTTACTAATACCTGTCCCAGGCTCAGATCAAGTTTCCTTTGCATGGGTCAGATTAACCAAATATACAAGGGCATAGAGGCAAAACAAGCCCCCTGTCTCTGCCGCAATCCACCCTCAAGTGTTTCTTGGCACAGTTTTAACGTGACTGAGTGTTAGCAATTGCTATCCATATCTTTTCCACAGTACTCCCTAAATTCAGTACTGCTCCTGCAGTGACAACACCCCAGTACATTAGAAATCACATACATTTGATGAGCCTGATATTAAAAGGTGACATCTGCAGCAAATCAACATCAGAGGCTGTCATAGCTCTAGGCGCCTCATTTAATTTCTTGTGGGATTCAGAAGCTTAGAAGCTGAAATTGAACAAATTTGTTCTTTGAAAAAAAATCAGCTTGAACTGAGTACCAGAATGTTTAAGAACTCCTCTATCAACAGGACTTTGCAGAAGAGTAGAATTATCTAAGGCAATAGTGAGGAAACTTGTAATATACAGAGGCCAAGTGAACTTGCTTCATGTGCATTCAAAACTCTCATCAAAGAGGACTGTTCTCCAAGGGAAATTTTCTGCTGCAACTATGACAGCAAACAGACCCTTGAGTATCAGATAGCATTTGCTATGGGGCTTTGGAAACACTACAACATTTCCATAGTTCTGGCAGCATTGTGCAAATAGTTCCCACCCCACCAGCCTGTTGTAACTGGCTTCTCATGCTGGGACATGGTTCTGACTTTGTATGAAGACTGTTTGCAAAACACACACACACAGAGTTACATTACAAGGGTGCTCTGCCATTAGCAACTGATGAAAGGAATGTCCATGCTTGGATTTTCAAACGGAATATGCTTCTGACAAAGCAATGGGCTTTCACAACGTTTAGCTAATTGGGTTAAGGAGCTGAATGTCCAGATACATACGCACAGAAATACTGCAGTTCAATAAAGCTTTATTTAGGTGGCATGGTTGGACAAAAAAAAAGTAAATATGTTCAAAGTGGCCCCTATACCCTTGTGCTTTCTTTCCTTGATTCCCCCTGTTGATCAGGAAGGTGTGTAGTGGGATTTCTAAACCTATTAGTCATGAATGAGCATGAAGTATATGCAGTTGGAAACTCTAGATTTTATGGCTATTTTTATATATCTTTTCCTGTTTTTTTGTTTGTTTATTTGTTAATAAGTTTATTAAACTGCATTGAATTATACAGTATTTTGTCTGCCATTCGGCAATCTACCAGAAAACATTTGTTATTATGCAAACCAAAAATTAATAAAATAAACTGTGCTTGAATAGAAGTCCTTGCAGGAATGATGCTTCATCCCCCTAATCATCTACTTCAACTTCTCAGCATTTATCCCAACTCTACAATGTCTCCAGTAAACAGAACTTGGAATACCAGTTCTAAACATTATGATATTGAAAATCTGGAAATTAATTTTCATTTCTAGCATTAAGTGGGTGAAATTAAATTTGTTGAGGTATTATTAGTTAATGTATTAATTACATTAGCTGTATTTAGTTATTAACCAAAATTAGTTATTAGCTCCAACTAAATTCAACGTTGATTTCCACTTCTTTAACTGATGCAATGTAGTTGGGCCTAACTATAGGCCTTCATTTTTTTAATAAATCATGGGAATGACAAAATATGGCATTTCTGATTGTTGCTGCTGCCTCCTACTGGTTAGTTTTCTTATTGGCTCCTTCAAAGTGTTGTTTTTGTCACTTGTAAGTTGCCTTCCCCAGCCTGAAACCTTCCAGATGCATTCTATTGCAAATGCTACAGTCTGATTGATGAGTGAGGATGGTGGGATTTGCAGAATATCTGGAAACTGCCAGATTGATGAAAGGTGCTTTTTCCCCATAGGGAGAAAGGCAGGGTATAAATAAAGTAAGTAGGTAAGTAAATAAAAACAAAAGCAACCTAATTCAATCAAATTTGACACTGATTTTTCTCCATTCCAGACTTACCAACATAAATGTGGCTCATTCACACTTCAAACACCTCATCCTCCTTGTCTCCCAGTATGGAAAAATGGAGTAATACATTTATTCCACTCACAGGACAATACTGAAGAGGACCACCAAGTGGCTACAAAGATCAGTTGTTGAATTGAGGAAGAAATTCTTAATCGGAAACATTCAAAAGCCTCTAAACATGAAGAATATTTTATGCTGTACTGAGTACCTACATTTTACACTATCCAAGTCACTTAGAATAATGGGCTGCAAAGATCAATATAAGAACACATGATTTTCATGCTAAGACATAACATCTCCAGTTTCTAATGACCTCTTTCTTGTCCAACCATTCTTCTCTTGAGACCACCATCCCTGAAATAAGTAACAAAGCAACGTCTCTCATTCATTGTACTGCAAGAATGAGTGCTGTTAATTGCCAAATGTAGTTATGTAGTTGTTAAAACTCATCAGGAAGGAGGAGGTGAGGTAGCATACAACTAGTTCAATTTAAATTAAATTCAATCTTTCACTAACAGAGCTTGGAAACAGAGTATTAGTGACTAATGGTTTGAAGTTACAGGAAATTAGATTTTGACTGAAAATATGAAGGAAATTCTTCAAAGTAAAAGTGGTCCAACAATGGTACCAATTGTTTAGAGAGATGATGGGGTCTCTTTCTTTGGATGTCTTCAAAAAGAGGCTGGACAGCTACCTGCTGGGGATACTGAACAAAGAGCTACGATATATATCAGTGGTGTCCAACCTTTGGTCCTCCAAGTGTTTTGGACTTCAGGTCCTAGAAGCTATGGGCAGCATGCCCAATAATTGGGAATTCTGGAAAATGAAGTCCAAAACACCTTGAGGATCAGAAGTTGGACACAATAGTGAAATCTGTCACCATCATCATGTGTTCCTCATAAGAGAGATTTGATGCAGTGACACAACACGCCCAACGCATGCCATAACACAAGTCAGTAGCATATACTGGTATTGTCAACAAATCACCAGCCTTAAGATAGTTTTGTGATGAAAAACCTCAATTATTCATAATTTATTTCCTAAAGCAAACTTTAAACATGCTCTCCAGAAGTGATCCAGGCCACTGCACAATGGAAAGTGGAATTTTTACTATGAAATACATCAGTAAACATTTATGTAATTTTAAAAAATCCACCTGAATTTTTATAAAAGGAAATTATTGTCTACAGTGCAAAAAATATGGCAGGTACAAAACACACACGTATAGGTCATCCAAACAGGATACAATAATAACTTTGGGGGAATGCGTAGAAACTTTTAACAGTTTCTTTCCTCATAGCAACATGGTTGCAATCAGTCGTCTGTTCTCATTGGTAAGGTACAGCTTGCTTGAGTCATGACTGACACTTGGATCCAATGCACGTTATATGCATTATATACACTTGGATTTTTCAAAATGTATGTCATGCTCCAAATGGTAAGAACCAAAGTCATGATCTATAGAAAATGTCAAGTAGGAAGTAGAAATGGTCACACCTTCACATTAAGTGGTTAATGGAGGGTGGTCCAAATAATATCGGAACTGCTTGGCTAGGTAAAGTGGCAGATGCACAACTGATATTAAATGGTTTAAGTATAGTCAAGTGAGATGTAAGGATTTGATAGGACAGATGAGCAAAAAAAATGACCATTACTAATATTTATTTATATCCCACTTTCCTCTCCTAAAGGAAACTCAAAACGACAAAACTGAAGTATAAACGTAGTCACTCACCAATCATCTTCACAGACTGTTGCAATATTTCTAATTTCTCCCTTCCACTATGAAAAAAGCAAATGGGTAAGGTACCTGAGCGCACCAATGGCACTACCTTTCCACGATGGTGGGATTCTGTGCTTCTATGACGCAAGAGGCTAATTTGACAGCAGCGGTTCTCTAATAGGGCCTCTCATGTCTGATAGGTTTTTGCTAAAGAACCAGATGAAACATGCCACAGAGTTAGAGGGCATCAGTAGTAGAGTATGAGTATGTGTGTTTGGGGGGAGAGAGATGACACTGGCAGAAGATCTCTTACAGACAGTACAGCATAGCTAACACTTGTTAGTGCTTCACAGAAGGAGACACGATAAATCTCCTTTTAAAGATATTTTAACACAAAACTCCTAGGATGATACAATCCAAAATGAAATGATAGTGCCAAAAGATCAAATTCCCAAGTTGGATGACACTCAACAAATTACTGGTGTACAGTAGAGGGCAAATAGTGCTGTGACTAATAATGCAACTGGTCATTGCTAGTTGCAAAAGGTCATTTTCCTCAGAAGTGAAAGGAAAATCTGAAGGTGAATAATACACATTATAGGAACATGGAATTAGGGGAAACAAGATATAGTAAAATAAGAACTGGAGTATATAAACATTGTAAAACTTGGGGTGAACAAGCTAAAGTGGATAGGAATGGGATGCTTTGAGTCAGATAATTCTGGAGTTTTTAACTCAGGGATTGAAATGGGATAGGATTCATAGTGACATGAGTAGTAAATCAGTCAA